CACGTGCTAGCGAACCTGCAGCGAACACGCCAAAACTAATGTGGCAACCGGAAGTGACGCATCCACCTGTTGTCTTGTTTGAGCAACACCAAAGTTTTAATTAAAATATTTTACATTTTGTTTAGCTTATTATTGAGTTAAAAGCTAATTTCTTAAACATATAATTAATAACAATATATATATTTTTTTCTATTACATATATTCTTCTGCATCATACACAAGCTTGGAAAATGGCAACCCTTTTTGTTTGGCTGAGTCATGACACTGGCAAGGGGTAAATAAATCATTTTTAATGTAAAACAGGTGGGCCATTTGTTATAATAAAGTTGTATTCTCTAAAGTGTTAACTCTTGAAAAAGATGATTGATGAGTGTTAAAACTGGGGCTAGATGCTCATGATGGATCACAAAGTGCCTCTTGGTCCCATTTTTTAACACCAGTTCCCATTATTTATGTTTGTTGTTACTTGCAATTGTTTCATTGGTCTGTGTTATTGTGATTTTATCTAAAGGTATATACTTAGTTCCTTATGGCAACAAAGTAAACTATAGAATATGTGATGTCATTGTCTGCATTAAATTCCTCTTCTATTGATCCCCAGGTGTGTTGGTACACAGGAAGTTTATAAAAGCGTGTTTGCATATTGTTTACATAAGCAAGATAGTAGATAAAGTGTAAACAGTGTTTTCTCAGTATTAAATAAGATAGATGGGCCCATGAGTTGGCCATTACTGAAGAGCCTGCACAGCACTATTCAACTAATGCACCTGAAAGCAGAAATGAGAAAATAGAGGGCTGATCGGATTCAATATTGGTCTTTAATTACACCTCGCAACCCTGCGACCTCTGCTGTTCCTTAGAGGTTTTATGTCGTTGTGTAGTCCAAAAGTTTCCCCAGGATATCCCAACAATCAGTATATTCAATGTAGACACTCATTGTCATTGACTTTCCTGACAATGTGTGTGATGTATAATGAACTCTTGATGCGCCTTAAGCACAGATCTTCCACTTTTCTTTCCTTTGTCTCCTTCTCTGTTGTTCAAATAATCATTTCAAAGTATAAGTGGATCATATTTTTCATTCTTCCAGGCAAAAAAGTTGACTCTAATTTCCTGTGAAAGCCAAAGTCTGCACTGGTAATATAAGCATATTTTTAAGATTTGTGTCATGGCTCTTTTTTGTCAGGTGCATAATGGGGGGGACAAGCTCATTTTAAGGTAATTTGTACGGCATTTGACCCCACATTTATACCGCTAATCCATTTCCTTCAGCAGCCCTAATTGCCTCAGACTGGCTGTCTGTAATTTACAGACAGACAGATCTGTTGAATTTGCCTTTTTTATATTCTGATCCAAGAGCATTTCCTCTCAAAGTAGGTACATCTATGAAGAGTTGTGTGGGCTTCTTTGCTGACAAAAGGACAGTTTGTAGTCTGAGAGAGGGGCTTTGTGATGGCTCAGCGTCTCTGTGGATTAACGCTTTTGTCTCGTGTGTTTCATCACTCTATGAACTACAGCATAGAGCCAGCAGCCACTTTATTAATGAACACCTGTACAATCTGATGCAATCAAATGCAATTGTTCTGCCATATTGTAATGATGCTACAATATTCCGTTTTTATATAACCATTAATGAAATATATCTAAGTGTATGTTTTAGCATTTGGTACATAAGTGTTGTAATGGACTCAATTATATTAAAAGGTGATTATTATAGCTTTCACACATGTACATTTGTAGGACAAAAAATAAAGCACAGCACCAACTTTAACATAATCATTTAATTTGACCCAATTCTGACTAAGTAAAAACACAACTTAACTTTATAATCTTTGTAAAGGTATATATTATTGCAGGAATATTGGAAGGCATGACATTATTCACATAACTTAAAACATGGCCTCTGATTGAACATGTTGAACAGCTCCAAGAATAGGCATACCATTCCTGTCATCACTGAGCATTTACAAAAACACACCTAATGGATTATTCATATGTTTATGCAGATTCAAACTAAATGTAATACCAACTTGTGCCTTATACAAATAAAAATAAATGTAATAGACATATCGAGTCTGTTTATCTCAAAAGGCCAAACTACACATGAGTCGTTGAGCTTGCATGAAGCTGCGCGGCCGCTGACATCCTCCTTTATCACAAAGATAAATGAGAAAACGCAATACAGTCTCCCCACTACCGACAGGCAAGGGTGAAATCCAAGCACAGACATTTTCCACAGAAAACAAATAGTTTATATAGTTTAACAGCTCCTACAAAGGTCCTTCATATATGCTCTGTATTCATCACACCACTGCAAATAACTACTGTTGTTACACAATTTCACAGCAAGCATGTGTCGTTTCTGGTGACTCTATGCTGTTCATAATGCAACACTGGCAACACACACACAAACTGATCCTCCATGTACTACAAACATCATTTATGAGCTTGGAGGAGGAAATCTGTTGCATGTGAAGTTGTTCACATCAGTCTGAGTCATGGTTTATCGGTTTGGAAGCATATCCTCACATAGAATACATTTGGGGATAAAGACTATGAATTTTCTCCCTTTTTTCTACTCTTGTATGTGATTAAACATCTCATACAAACACAACTCATAGGAGTGATGAAGTGTAATACATTATTTTTCCCTTCACTCTTAAATCTGAGACTTAATTAAAAGTACACTGTTGCCACAGAAAATCAGGGTTCTTACACTTACGAAATGACTCTAAAAGTATGCAGGGTGTGGCCTAAAACAGCTGACTGTCTGTTAAAAAATTATGCAGAGGGTCACAGATTGTAACGAGTTCTGTGATCCATAACCATTTCTACTCTTGTATTCAAAAATTAAATTCTGTCCCAACCCGCACTGATGTTTTATTCATCAAACAAGATGCCAATGAGAAAGTCCATCTCTGTGTTCCGCTCACTCCAATACATCAAACAGCAGGCAGAGACGTATTGGTCCGTGCCAGCATGAGCATGTCCAGATTAATAATGTCACCGTGCCCCGTTATTTGTTTCTCCAAGCGCCGCTGCAAAGCATTCTCTGGCATCAGGATTCATGGCTCTGCAGGACGCTTGATGTGGAGACATAAATTACACAGATAGCTTTTTGGGGATGGGGTGCTGACCCTGGTGCATGATGTGAGGGAGATATCTGACTCAGCACACTGCAGATGTGGACCACATTGTAACCCTCCATACATTCTGGGTCACCTGACAAGATGTGAGTCTGGCAACTCAATCATGATGTGTCTGATGAGGAATCTCCTTATCTTATTATGGGGTGGTTTATTGAAGCTGTGTGTATCCTGCAGTGATGGAAAAAAGGTACTCAGACCCTTTTCCCAATAGTAAAAGTATTAAAACCACAAGTTGACATACTTTGGTAAAAGTAAATATCCTGGACTTGGAATAGTGTTTAAGTGAAAGCACACATGTGTGATCAGTCTACTGTACTAGAAGTTTAAAAGTTAGATAAAGAAATGTTGTGTATTGACGCTCAGTCCTGAGATTAAACTTGAATACAAGCCCATTGAAAACTCTCCTTGGTCCATGTGTCCATATTAGTTGAGGCACCAAACATTAAAATATGTATGCAGAATGACCCATGTCAGAGTGGAAAATCTATAAAAAGTGTACTACATGACTTGAATACTCGATTCTGATTGGTGAATGTGGACATTCCAGGGGTTTTTATTTCTCGCTAACGCACCACTGTTAAGGAGAACAGACCGTTGCTAAGAAGGATTGAGGGACTAGGTGTAGTCATTTCAGAAAACAACATGGAATACTGTTGCCGCAGTTCGAAGCAATACGATCATTTTACATTTACGTATAGGTATCCTGTGTCTGCCTAGCTGCAGATATGCTGATACTGGGTTATTTATTTAAAGTCCCAATCTGTATAGTAAAGATATTTTTCAAATAATAGTAGTGGAGATATTTCTCTGTTATATAGTGGAGTTGAAAAGATGTGGGTCTAAAGTGGCATGTTATCCTCGTCTCTCTCCGCAAAAAATAAATAGAATACAGCTGAGTTCGGCTTCTGTACAAATAGTGTCAGTGGAACAATAATCTCAGTTGTATTGCCTTTCTGAAGTTATATTTGTCTTCTCCTTTTATAGACGGAAACAAACTGCTGTGTGCATGCGACCCTGAGTGACCCGTCTCCAGCAGCCTCACAATCAAAACATTCCTTGCTGTGTAACGAAATATGTTCAGAGCAATTTCGCCAACGCTGAAAGTGGGAGCATTCTGTTGCGAGAAACATCCATGCACTAGTTCCAAGTTGTTGTTTTTTATAGCTTAAACACAACAATTAGCCATACATTGGAGCTGGTATATGGGCCATGAAAATGAGAGTGGATGCAATAGCAAACACACCATTAAGCTGATGGAATGGGGCCACAGGAGCCCTGACACACCAATTAAACATGCAAGTATGCTTTTAGTGTACTAACCATTCCTAAAATGACATTAAAGTGAATACAGGGGCATGTTCAGAGATGACAGCACTTGTTAAAGAGCTGTTTAAATGTATGGCCACACAGTGCCATCTACTGGTGTTCACATGCATTACAAGCAGAACCCTGAGATGTAATCGAAGATGTGTTAAATTCACCTTTCAGTCATTTGTACTAACATTTAAACAGAATATTGACACCAGCACCAGAATTTGTGAAGCAAATAACATCATAACCTCCATTCCTTCGTGTATTCAGAGATGACTGTGGGTCAGACTGCTCCGATATTAAAAATAAACATCATTATAATATGTAAAGGGCAGACACTCTAAACATCAAAGAGCCATCAGTAGAAAATAAACAGAAGAGCCCTCACGCAAACAAGACCAATTTAACCGGCCTTACCCTGGTGAGAATCTAGTTTAGAGACAGCTTAGACCCGGTTATTTAGCTTAGGCGAAATACAAGTAAATAAACAGACAGTCCATTTGAAAAGCTTTCAGGCACAATTCACACCAGAGAAGGCTATTAAATAGTTGGCATGAGTTTAATGTGTGTTCATGGCACTGTAAAATAGGACCTGTGAAATCAGAGTCAGTTCATTAAATTCTGTTTGCAGCTTCAGATGAATTCACAAGAGTAGATATAAATATATATTTCTCACTGCAAAATCAGAATTAAACTAAATGGGAGCAGAGATGAGATACTGTATTTAATTCGTCCAAAATGGCAGTTTTGAGTCAAAGATGCAAAAGCAATATAATGCAATCATATAGAAATAAAACAGCCTTCATCTTTAAATCTAGTGAGAAGAATCAAGTCGTTTTTGATACAGCCACAAGGGAAACAGATATGTGTTGCTTGAAGAAATGGTTCCCGAACGATTTTGATGAGATGGATCAAAAGGATATTAAAGGAGGGAACATATTATATTTCCACTAAACAAAATGTAAATTATTAAGACTTTCCTTGATACTCCTGTAACCCTGTAGAAACTAGAAAATGTATATCCTGCTGAAAATGCGTGTGAATGCTGTAAACTGCGCACATTTGTTGCTGAACTTGGCTGAAGATGTGCAGTGAATGTGTCAAAGTTACTTGTGTGCAATATTATTTAATAAATCGTTAAGATAGCTATCTAGAATACATTGTCACTAACTCCAAACATTAGCCAGCCTTTTGTATTGCTTTATCAAAGTAATTCCATGGGCATGGCAACTGTAAAGTCACAGTACTTAGTTGTACTTTTATTCTAATTTACTGTAAAAATATCTACAGTAAATTACTGTGAAATCCATGCAACTAGTAGCCAGTAATTTACTGTAATTTTACAGTGTATAACCACACGCTGCGGTGTCGGGCTGGCGCTCGGCGTTGCTTGTGCTCGAGTTGGTGTCTGTGCTTGACTTTGTGTTGGGGACGGTGCACTGACATCAGTCGTTGTTTGGGACTGTTCCTCCTCGCTAGTCACAACGGCATCATCTAGAACAGCATACATGACTTGTTAATTCCACAAACTACTGCAGCACAATACTAAATAGCAACAACAACTCTAGAAAACTGTACGTTGTAGTGCCGAGAGATAGGGAGTCGGAGGTGGTGCAATGGAGGTGCAAAAGCGTAGCCTACTTTATTTGGGAGCAGCAAAGGTCATGTTGTCCGGTTGCAGTCCGGGAAGAAGAGAGAAAAGTAAGGAGGGCACACAACATATATAGTAAACCATTAACATGTCCGTGTGGGAACAATACCCCCAACTGTAGTTCCATGTAGGAATTATGTCCCAGTGTATTAATAGGTGGTCACCACACAAGCCCCCCCATAATTCAAACATGGCAAACAAATACAAATAATCCTCGCGTCCCTGGAGGAAGCACCACAGGGGCCGAGGAGGGTGGGGTCGCAGGTGAGGACCGGGCCATGGAACGGGCCGCAGGAGAGGGTAGGGGCCCTAACGAGGGCGAGGGCACCCCCACCGGGGGCGGGCCGCAGTAGGTGTCGCGGCGAACCCAGCAGGAAAGAGCACTGCCCGGCCGCAGGATACAACGCTTTCAAGCAAATAACAGAGCGTTAGCAAAAACTTACCATCCTCCAGGCCTCCCTCCCTCCCAACGTTGGCTGGTCTAATGCCGTATATGGCGTCCATCAGGTCAAACCACTTCCACGTTTTTCTACTGGAACCACTCCGGCCGTTGTGGTCCTTGACGGCTCTATACTCGCTCTTCAGTTTTTTAAGTTTTTCTCTACACTGGTGAAACGTTCTCGTGAATCCGCGTGCGGCCAACAGTGCAGAGAGCTCCACTTTCTCGTTGCGCCGTCGAGCTCCCGCTGTAGTATCTGTGAATACTGTAGCTCCTCTTTTTCAAAAATTGTGCTTTATATATGTGATGCTTGGGGATTATCTCGCGGACCGATTCTCTCTGACCAATCAGCAGTCGGGAGTGTTTACGTCACTAGTTTAGCATATTTTCAGCTCGCTTGGAACCTCAATTTAGGAGGGGCCAAAAAAAGTGAAAAAGTACCCGTGAGCCGGTACTACCCCTAGTGGAAAAGCAAAAAAGAGCGGGCCGACCCCAACCAAACCGCACCAAAACCTGCAGTGGAAAAGCGCTAAGTCACATATATGTAGTTTGATCAATCCAAACTAAATTATTTTACAAATAGGAGGTTGTGTGCAGGAGTTTTTCTTCACAGGAAATTCCTGAAGCTAAGCGTCTGCAGGCGCCAACTTCATATTTACTACACAGAAAAGAGAGTGTTACTTATCTTCCTATACCTCTTGACAAGAACGCTATAAGTCTTTTTTTCTGCATTAAATATGCCTACTTGACCCCAGAATTTGCTGAGATTAAAGACAATGGTATTTTAGATCATTCAATTTTAAAATATCTTTAAATAAAGCGCTGTTAACTGAAGACTTGGGAAACATTTAATATATATTGTGGATTTAAGAATCGGACACTCTTATCTCACAAACACAATAGCTTTTGTTTGCTTGAACTGTTTGTTGATCTGCAAATGTAAGCTTGTTATATGCTTTAGGCTACTTACTGTTAATTCCTCTGGATGAGTATCAGCTCAAATCCCTACAAACGCAAATATATAAAGAGGATTTCCAGCTAACAACAATACTGGTAATTATAGTCTCAAATTAAACTCTTCAGATGTAAAATGAACTTAGCTACCCAGAGGCTCTGCTAGATGAAATGCAACAACTGCCAAGAATTAAAACGAGTGAATATTATAAATAGGGTATATCCATTCCAGCAGAAAATGTGGGTGTTAGGCCAAGCTGATTTAGGATCACATGAGTCATTGTGATTGCCATTGAACAGATAATAAACACATAAGGGTCACAGAACTGCATATCTCACCATCCCCTGCAAACAGTCACAATGCCTTTAGCCGAGAAAATGCCATTAAAGCAGACAGTTCATTTTCAGTTTATTAGAGTCAATTTAAACTCAACAAATTATAACATGTCCTCCAGATAAACAAATCCAGCTCTTTCAGTATTGTTTACTTCTGGGACTCATTCTTTTGTGCCTCTTTTCTGAATGTTCAATTATTTTTATTTCATTATTGTGCGGCACTCTCCCGTCTGGCCACAAAAGGTTATTTTATTTCATCTTTGTAGATCTTGCTCCCTGCAAGGTTGTTAGTACTTTCCTCTGCCTCATATTATTGCGTAACCCTGTAAAGCCCAAAGAAAAACATTACAATTTATTTTGTTGACCTTTCAGATGTTGTTGTAGGGAGCCTCTGGAGCAGAAATGAAAGAGTTTTCACATTTTGGTAAGTTTTTAGAGAAATGTTGGGCTTAGGTGGGAGCAGAATTTATTCAGAATGGTCTGAATAAATATATTGAACAACTAAGGGTTGATTTGCAGGATTGATTGCTTAATTAGCCCTGTATCATATAGCATGAATAATAATTTAAGTCATATTTGTTATGAATTTATTAAATATGAATACAATGTCCCAAAAACAGTTCCTATCGTCGGAAAAGCAGAGACGGACGTCACACTTGCATCGTGTGTTTGTGTACCCTTTACTGCAGTGTCTGTTGCGTCCTCTCTTTGTCTTCACTGGAAAATGTGCCACTAGGTCCTTGCGTACATCCAGTGGTTGTTATCTCTTGGATGGGGCCCCGTTTGGTGGACTCCCATCACCTGAGGATGGTCTCTTCTGAGCATTCAACTGGCGTCCTCTCTTGGGTGTTTTCAGAGGAGTTGTGTTCCCCTGATTAGAAAAGAATCAATCAAGATACATGTCAAAAATACATTAGGATACAAGTCAAACATATTACAGTGAAATATAAAAAAATATTACAAACGGCAAATATCAGAAATGCATTCTTACCAGGATGAGAGAGGATGCTAGATCTGCCTGAAACTGTCTCCTGGTCAGGATCTCCTGCTTTGGCATCTTTAGAGCTTTGCACTCCCGCTCGTAGAGGAGCCAGGCGTTGATCAAAGCAAGGATGATGGTGTGCCAGAAGATGTACACTTTCTCTTTGGAGCCAAGGCAGAACGTATAAAAGTTAGCGCTGAGCTTCAGTCTGCAATGTTCAAAACAACAGATACAGCCAGAAATCTAGGTGTAGTCATGGACTCTGACCTGAGTTTCAACAGTCACATTAAAACAGTTACTAAATCAGCCTACTATCACCTAAAGAACATATCTAGGATTAAAAGACTAATATCACAGCAGGATTTGGAAAAACTTATCCATGCTTTTATCTTCAGTAGAGTGGACTACTGTAATGGTGTCTTCACAGGTCTCACTAAAAAATATATTAGAAAGCTGCAGCTGATTCAGAACGCTGCTGCTCGAGTCCTCACTAACACTAAGAAAGTGGATCACATCACTCCTGTTCTGAAGTCTTTACACTGGCTTCCTGTGTGTCAAAGAATAGATTTCAAAATACTGCTGCTGGTTTATAAAGCACTGAATGGTTTAGGCCCAAAATACATTTCTGACCTCCTGCTAAATTATGAACCATCCAGATCTCTCAGGTCTTCAGGGACTGGTCAGCTTTCTGTCCCCAGAGTCAGAACTAAACATGGAGAAGCAGCGTTCAGTTATTATGCTCCAAATATCTGGAACAAACTCCCAGAAACCTGCAGGTCCGCTGCAACTCTGACTACTTTTAAATCCAGACTGAAGACTTTTCTTTTTGTCGCTGCTTTTAATTGAAACTGAGCCGTTGTGTTCATCAGTAAAGTGGAACTTCTGTGTGAACTATTCATATCTTAAACTGCACTGTAACTTTTTATTCATGTACTTTTTATTCATGTATTTTTTCTTTTAATGTTTCTTTTATTATCTTTTACTGTTTTGAAATGCCTTTGTCTGAATGTCTTTCATTTTTGTAAAGCACCTTGAATTGCCTTGTGTTGAAAGGTGCTATATAAATAAACTTGCCTTGCCTTGCCTTACACGTACCAGCGTCGGGACTTCATGGGTCTTGTCCAGCAAAGGGTGACACAAGTGTGACCGCTCTGCTGTCATACCATTTGACAGCACAGATGTTGTGGTTGGCCTCCACTCGGATGTCAAAGCTTCCTCTCCCTTTTTTCTTCAAGCTCTTCTCCTCTTCAAGGTTACAGTTCGGTAAGCGCACCTGCCTGGCTGTTCCCACATAATGAATCCCACGATCAAGGAGCTTCACTACCAATGAGACACAGGTGAAGTAGTTGTCTGTGTAGATCTTGTAGTTCTGACCTTCTGGAAGCGTGGAGGCAAGCTTCATCACAACATCACCTGACAATCCAAGTTCAGACTTGGCTCGTATCCCATTGACACTGCCTTGGTACACATCAAAGTCACAGATCATTCCAGAGATTCCAGTTCTCACCCACTTTCTCCGTTTTGGATGGCAGCAATCACATCCATGCACTGAATCCTTTGAATCTGAATCCTATTTACATTGTACACTTGAGTCACACAATACTACCTGGCTTAGCCTATTATCATAATAAAAAAAGGAATACCTACACCCACACATGCAGGTAAACCAGTTCAACACAATGCTGTCTGGCTAATGATCATACTAAAAGGGATACATCCAAGTGTCCCAACACATTTCAGAAAGAACTGTTTTCGTCAAAATCACATTTGATGAATGTATTCCACAATAACTAAATATGTACATGTTCTAGACATTGTAATAATCACAAAAACATTTGAGGCATTTTATATACTTGAATCTGACACATCCAGTCCAATAAAACAAAGAGATGTTGCTCGTTTGAAGATTCGGAAATTTGAAGATTCGGAAGTCCTGCCAGAGGGCAGGACCTATAAACACATGTACCGCCCAATAGCATTGTGAGGCTGAACAAAAGGACCGTTTGACTATGTGAATGTAGTCTTTAAAAAAACAAAACATTTACTGACATTTTTAGGATAGCTTAAAGTAATGTTGTAAAATTACAACAGTGGGCCTTGCAGGGTTAAAGGCACACCAGCAAGAGTACATACCTGCAAAGTTTTTACTTTTACAGTTATGTCTAATCTAATTTAATTGATGCTACGTTATATTTCAATATCACAGCATTTAGCTGACAGCTGTAGTGCGTAGTTGCAAATTACGATTTAAAAAACTTAAAAATCAAGTACATATTGTATAATGTATAGTATAAAAAGGTGTACTTAGCCAATGGAAGGAAACTAAACTACAGCCTGGTTGTAGCTGCACCTGGAAGTAACAGTGGGGTTTTATATACAAAACAAAGAGTGAATAACAAAAAAAGCATACAAAATTATAATCCAATCACATAAATTATAGGAACTTTGAAACTTTGAATTTAGGGATTTTAGCCTTTGCAGTGCACACAAAGCTATATAACACACTACAGGAAAGGGAAAGCCCAACATGCGTTACCGTGCCTCTTTAAGTATAGTCCTCAGATTAAAGGATACTGAAAAGCCTTAACTAACTTTTATTAATGCTGTTATTTGGTCGAAAACAACAGATACATCTTTCCGGAATCATGAGACGTTGACACATCATTGCTATAAAGTAAAACTTTAATTTGGTATATAGTTTATGACGTTGTTTCTCTTGTTAGTTCACTGGTCATTACAGGAATGGAATGCTGAAAGCTATAGATTAATCAACAAGAAAGTGCACACGTGTTAACTTTCAAATTCAGATTTGTACATTATTATAATTAATTTCTAATACATTTTTCTCTTTATATATATATATATTCCCATTTATGTGTATATAAAACAATAAAAACCTCTTAATTATTGCAATTGAAATTGACACATTAATTCAAACACATGAAGATGAATAAAACAGACAAAGAATTAAAGGGAAATATAATCCACTCTTAAAGGTGGGGTAATTTTGGAGAAACCAGCTCGAGTGCGCTAGAATTTGAAAATACACAGCCGGAAAAAATCTGCCACTTCCTTACAGAGCCCCTCCTCCAACACACACGAACGCACACATGACCAATGAGGGCACCAGATAAGTTTGTGCACAGATGGAAGGCTGACAGGCAGGTAGGCCATCCAGTTATTTTAGCCGGGCCGCCTCAGATGATTGGTCGTGCTTTTTACAGTACTACGGCTTCCACAGATGACGTTTTTTTATGTATTTATTGTCAAAGCTTTTAATATATTCATTGCTATCGGGATGTTAAGAGCATTCCATGGAATATAACAAAAAGTGTATCTCGAGCCGGTCTCTCAAACTTACCTACCCCACCTTTAAGTCATAGCATTCACTGGGATTTAAACCCTAGCTTCTCTGCTTTCGGACTGAAAACCCCAAACACCCGCTTATCAGGCCCATCATGAAATACATCCCTTTTCCCTGTGATGTGTCACCTGATAATAACCATGCACAATGTGTACACTACATTAAAGCCACTTATTGCTCTCTTCAACATCGGTGTTTTGAGATAAAGGTCCAGCTTTGTTAAAGTGCTCGTTGTGGTGTGAAAATGTGGAGAACGAAGAGGTAAAGGAAGGAAGAAAACAGTCTTTGGGTGGAGTAATGACACTGTGGGGTCATTGTGGGATGACGTGTGTGTGTGTGTGTGTGTGTGTGTGTGTCATACTGTAATTACTGCCTGTAACTGGAGAGGGTCAAATGGCAATGTAATTGTTTGCCTTTTACTGCTAGGCCAGTCAAATCCTACAGTACTGAAAGGAGTTGTTGCATGTGTCAGCAGAGCAAAACCAAATTAGTGAGAACAGTTTTCTGAGCACACATAATTGTAGCTAGGGTTTTGGATCGATGTTTTTCCCAAATTATTTTTGTAAATAATGTTGACGTGTCGTGCCCATATGTACATTAAAACAGTTTCCAGTTGAAGCGATTGATTTTCCATTTCATACTGCCTCCTTTAAAGATCCCCTCCTGAAGCATTTTCAGTGTAAGTCACAAATAAGGTTTGATTAAAAAATGCTCACAAAGATAACTAAAGGACATCTGCTTGGTTTGTTAAACTCAGACTGCTGAAGCCTCATATGTTCACTTAGACTTAAAAATGCCTTTTCAAACAGAATGAAGACTTTTGAAATTGAACCCCACTTTTCTCTCTAGTACGAACAGGTGAAACAGCCCAAAAAACATTATTTTGATGTACATACAGTAGGACATGGCACAATGATTGTATTAAATGTGAGAGTGTAAATCTATCTACTAGTTATTTACTATAACAGAAGCAAGTTTTGTTGTGCTATGCTCTGCTGAGTGAAATGTATGGTTTCCTGGGGAAAAACAATACAAACAAAAATCTAAAAACATGCAAGAACCTCAGTGTGGCTTTCTGAGTTGTCTGCATGCAAGCTGCTTGTAGCGGATGCCTTAACCTTTCTTTTCCAAGTGGAACAATCTAAGTCTTACTAGCTGTAAATGCTGCCTCTTTGAACTCCACAGTTTAAAGTTTGGGTGATAAATGCATTTTGAGTACAGTTAAACAAACAAAACCCACAGTTAAGCCTAAAAACGTTTGTAAATCACATGGAGTGATGTAATGCACATGTGTCCAGATAAAGCATTTGACAATAAAAACACAGTACATATATATCCATGTGTAGCAAAAAGAATTAAACAACAAAGCAGTTAAACAAATGAAGCACACAGTATAGAAAAACGTAAAGCTGAAGTGAATGCTGGTGAGGCAACAGTGTGTGTAGTTCAGTTCGGATCATTCAATGAACACAAGTGCCAGACTTAAAACATTTCAGCGCTGTGGAGAGACATCCAGTGTAGCAAAACAAAGGCAATATGACATTATAATACATGAATACAATGCAATAGGTTCTTCTACAGGCTGTACCGTATGGCTTCAGATTAAAGATTTCCTGAACCAAACATTCCCCCACGAGGTTTGAGAATGTTTGCCCAAAGAGATGCATTTGGTTTGAAAAAGAATAGTATGGAAATAGTGTTTCTGTTAATCTTTTGAAATGATAGTCTTTGGAATAATGTAAAGTATTCAGGGATTTAATTGTCTGTTGTTTTGAGGATTGTTTTAATTCCAAAAGAGAGGAGTTTGTCCCCTTATATTTGATCACATCCCCCAATATGTATTTTGGGAAATGGGCAACAAACTGACTTTAAATGGAAGTCAAATGGACGATACTTTAGAAATATTCCTACCAGCAGCAAATTAAACGACCACTCACAGACGGAGAGGAAGAGTTATCAGAGCTTTGAGCTGCGGGAGGATAAATGAAAGCATAAATCATACGCTGCGTGTAAATATCTCTGTCCTTTAAGCAGCGATAAAAGCAGGATTTAAAGATGGAGGGGGAAAGCGTTGCATGTCATTCAACTTGTCACTTCTGGCTTTCAAACAACCCTTCTCTGTTTGAGCCAATCTCGACTGCGGCACTTCTACACACGCGCTGACATTTCAGACAGTAAATTCAATTTGTACCAGACAGGGAAATTAGATGCTTAAGGCTCTGACCCCCCCCCCCCCCATCACATCTGCACATCTGGATTTATCCTCGCTAAGTGAACCATAGCAACAGATGCTTCAGAGAAGAATAGAGCAAAACGTTTCTGCTCGTTCCCCTCTGCTGTAATGTGAGCCTTCAGGGTGAAAGAGGATCAGGTTGGTTTCAATGGTCGCTAACAGATAGAACACTGGAGCAGTGAGAAGGATTGTGTTTCAGTGATGAAGTTTGCTTTCATTAGGAAGTTCTTTGGATGGCCTGTAGGAGGGAGGAACTACTCTCTTCCTGCACTGAATTTATATAATAATCATTGTGTGAAAAGACCTACTTGTTCTCCCGTGCTTTTGCAGAAGACGTATCAGTCTATGTTTTCTAAATTGGGGTTTTCTATATTGTTGTGTTTTAAAATGTTTTTACATCATGAATGAGGGTTTTCACTCTGAGTATGGTTTTATTGTCTTTTGCTTTTACATTAGTTTCTTTTTGTCCTATCTTTTTTATCTAAATGTATTTATGCTGCTTTTTTATATATATATTGATGTGCATCACTTTGGTCAACTCTGTTGTCTTTAAATGAGCTATATAAATAAAGTTGGATTGGATTGAAGGAGTACTTGTCGGGTTTACAGTCAGTTTTTTGGGCTGTGACACACAAGACGTTCAATTGGACATGAATCAACAACTCATACGATTGATACGATACTCTAATTCACTGAGCAGCCGTGTATAAAAGATACAATATTTGACACACTGTACAACACATTAATTAACGTATTCCTGCCTGCAGATAACTCTCCTTGCAAAAACTCTTACAAACTGTTTTTAAGAATGTGTATTTGAATGCCCGTGTTGAATTTTAGCTTGGATTTTCGCAGTGGTTTGCCTCAATGTGGTGCAAGATTACAAGACTTTAGTTTTAAAGGGAATTCATAAATATAGGTTCTCATAATTCATTTATATATTTTACACATCTTTACTGCATAGAATGACATTTTTTGCCAGGATATGCCTACATTCTCAAGAGGTTTAGAGGTGTGGATGGATTGTACAAGCTACCCTTCACTTGTGTAACAATCTGAGCAGTGATGGAGAGCACAGATGATGGAGAGCACAGATGCTTGCAAGAAAGTGAATATGAATTAGTTTGAAATTATAAAACCAGGCATTAGTTTAAGATATAAGAAGTGTGAAGTTAGATGGACACTTATTCTATACATCTATATTAAGAGCGACATCTACTACTGATAACTCGACCTTTAGTGAGTTTTAAAGGGTGTTTAAAATGGAGGTAAAACATCTACACCGAAACGTGACATGATGACAACATGGGATTTCATTTCAGAAGACCAGGGGAATCAAGCATGAACAATGACATCAAAACATCCGTGCTGCATCACTTTCTGTCTCACAAGCTTCCCAAACACGCAGCTTTACTCTACGGTTGGAAAAGCAAATTCCTTGACACAAGAGTAAGGAATTTCTCACATCCAGACAACTCGCTCCACAGCCGATAAACAAGGCTGCAGGTCTGTAAGCACGACTGAACACATCTACACAAACGTGATTTCAAACAGAACCCCTGAAATAAATAGAACGCAAGTTTAAAATGCACCGAGTGAAAGGTTTTACATAAAGTAAGGCAAAATATCTGAACCTAGCTACTATTTCAAGTTTGAATATCCAGCTATTTCAAGTGACAGAAACAAAGAAGAGTTTCAGTGAGATGTTGGATTAAAACAAGCACCTTAAACCCAATATTTGAAATGAAAGGATTGGATGAAGCAGTTTGCTTTGTTTATCAAATGTAGGCCTGGATGCCCAGAATGTCTCAAATAGAGACAGAATTAAAAAAAAATCACGAACAAACAAAAAACCCAACACTTATCCAGTCATTAAAAAGGAAGTAAAACTAAAAGGTAAAAACGACATTGTCTGACACTAAAGCAGTCCAAGCCTTTGGTTATGCATAGTTCTTTGTTGAATGTCTCAGGCTATCAACCATAAACTCCACCGTCTCTCAGATAGCAGCTGTTCGCATCCGGTCTTAGAAAAATAAAGAGCAATGATAAAAACAAACTAATGGCTCTTCTCAGACTCCTTTTGCTTTGTGTGTCTGGTTTCCGTACAGCGTTAGCAGTTTTGGCTTGATTGGTTTCTGAACCAAAGAGAATATTTGGAGCAGTGAAGCAGCCGTCTCTCTGATTAGTGATGGGGGGGCTGACACCTCCACATCCAGCTGGATCAAGCCAGGAAGGGCTGGTCCTCCTCCTCCTCGTCGGCGCCGGGCCCGGGGTCGCTGAGGCACCTCGTCAGCTTCTGAGGATCTTTGCCATCGGCTCCCTCACCTGTTTTGTGAGGCCTCATCATCAGGCCCTGGTCCTCCTCCCTCCTCTCCCCCCCCCCGCTGCTGGCCGGCCCGTCTGAACTCATCCATCACGTTGACGGAGTCCGGAGACTGAGGGGAGGCCAGGTCCACCTGGAAGGTCGGCACACTGTCCGACTCCGGCTTGGCTCTGTAAGACTGAGGGTCTACGGGCAGGAGGAGGACATGTTAGTTAGCTTCATGAAGAAGGCTTTAAATACGTTTGTCTTCATTCCATGAGCGTGCATGAAAACACAAATAATGGTGGGAGAATGCAGTCAACACACAACACAAATCTACCAATGTACAATCACTGCACACACAGGACAACAGGGGGCTTCAAGACCTTTCCAAATATTCACTACACAACAGAAATAATGCCACAACGATTTACAATGCAGCACATGCTGGAAATGATTTCACCTGTAGTTAAGGTTCAGTGTGTTGGATTTAGTGACATCTAGTGGTGAGGTTGCAGATTGCAAGCAACTGAATATCACTTTGCTTTTCCCTCATTTTGCAAGTATGTGATCCAAACAATGAAATTCAGACAGACAATAGCACTACCACAGAATGTTAACATGGACACTAATACTGTTCAGGTGGTTATCTACTAATTATTTCTGCCAATAATTCCTTACAAATCCTACACACTGAACCTTTAAAATGTCCAATGGGACGCTGACATTCTATAATACATCATGCTTGACTCTAATCTAAACAGCAGGGTTTGTTTCTCAGCTATAATGAATCATCCATATGTGGCCATGTCATGAGATCGCTTTTGTTAGTGATGAATAATTAATGAATGTTACCAAGCAACAGGATTGACACATGCATGTTAGGATTGCTGTTGGGTTATCGAGTCAAAATGAATCTTCTCTACACTCACTACATACCTGGACCGGTTTTGTTTCCCTTTTGCTGCTGAGCAGGTTTGAAATCAGTATCTTTGCCTAAAATGAAACCACACACTGGTTTACATGCTGGCAGCCTCATGCAAACATAATTCCATCAGGGGGTAAATATCTATTTCTGCAGCAGTGAACAGTCGCGGTGCTTCCTGCAGTGTTTATTGGTTTGTAAAGCCTGTGAGCCCGACAAAATATAACGTATCATCGCTTTGGGTGTCGTCAGTGACATGGAAAACGTTCTGCTATCGTGGTGCCTTTTAGTATGGAGTGTTTGTGTTTGGCTGCAGCTAAGATGGATGAGTTTACCTGAGGACAGTCTGGCTCTACACATGGTGGGGGAGTCGGGGGGGGCAGCAGGCACCGTCAGGTAGTTGTTCATGTCTTTAATCTGGGAAAACACAGGGAAAATATATGTTTTAAAATAAACACACAAGTTGTTTTCACAGCAGCCCAACTAAAGCGTTTCAGAGATTCATCATTAATCAATATCTTAGAGGCGCTTCATTAAAACTATTTGTTGCTTTCTCTGCAGGAATCCTCTCGAGTCTGCACTGGCTTCTAGCACATTTCATTTACCAAAAACAAGAGTTGGTTTTCATTATGTAATTACAGGCTGATGGAACAGAAGTTTGTGTTGGAGACACCTAACTGCGTGAATACATCAGCCCCCATTTGTGTCGAGGAAATGAATTATGGAGACTGAAGGTGGACTTTAATTGGAATATAAATCATAGTTTTGGCTGAATCATGTAACTGCTGCCGGTACAGAAGGAGAAGAGCTGCTCCTCCTCCGATTTGGATGTGTTGTACTTTTCTTCCTGCATTATAACATCTTCTGTTATTCACCAAATAAAAAAACAGTCTCTGTGTACCACACCTATCTTATTACAAATAGTCTCCTTTGGCGTTGGCTAATCAACAGAATGTGTTTTACCTTTAGCTGTGCGTGTGTCAATAACATTTGACACAGCAGGTTGGTGCCTCAGACTGATTGTGATTTGAGGCATTACCCTCACAGAGACTGATAATATCATATTTATAATAATAATCATACCTTCTTCTCCAGCTCGATCATCTTCTGCTTCTTGATGAGTAAGTCATCGAAGCCATCCTCGAACGGATCGGCCACCAGAGTGTGTCTGTTGTAGGAGCGCAGCTGAGAGAGGAAACACAAATCAAACAACTCAGTTTATTCTGTTCCCAGGATATAGACTTCACTGCTCCCTGTGGCAGCTTTTGACATTTAACTGATGAGTATTACAGATGTAAGTAGAGGATGAGGATTTGTTGGTATACTCAAATAACCTTTAGTATAAAGAAAAACGCTCACAGAATAATAAACCACAATGATAATTGAATGATTAACGGATAGAATATATATAAAATAGAAGGTTGTGGCACTGTTTGTTTCTGTTTATCTCAAGGCCCTGCAGAAAATATGTTAAAAACAGTCCCTGATGACCCCAAGGGAACATTGATGTTTTAAATCAATGAGAAGTCTCTCGTTAAATCAATGACAATTTTTCGGTCCCTACAAATTTAAGTCAGAATTGGTGAATGTATGAGTAGAGCTACTGATTTAATTCTAACTCTGTAAAATCAATACTATAGTCTAGGGCCTCACGATATATCGTGTCGTGACGATAATCGCGATATGCGATCGCATTTTATTTTTTAGGACGTGCGATATTAAGTAGGCAAACTAACTCAAACACGCCATGTTCCAATTATAGAAGAATAGAATAGAATTCCTTTATTGTCATCGCACCAGGTACAACGAAATTTAAAAAAGCAATCCTCGCAGTGCATTAAAACGATATATATAAAACGAATAAATATATATCTATATAAACATATACACACATAAACATGCTCACACATCCATACCAACATGCATACATGCCCGCACATTATTTAAATACAGTTTACAATATAAAAAACACAGGGATGATATTTTGCATCTCTGATGTCGATCAGTTAATAAGTTAATACAACTATTAAAAAGTAGTGCAGTTGCAAGTTGTAACTGTTCAGTTCAGCGTTTTATTTTGCTGCTTGCTACAAAAGGAAAACTTGCGTGGCTCTCATGTCAGGGGTACTTGAGTGAGTGACATGCAGGCTCTGCATGCACAGCAAACCACCAATCACCATCAAAGCAAACGGACCCGGTGATTAGAGTTAAAAACACTGAATAAAGTAGTTTCATGTGTTTCTCCAGGGCAGTTCGGCGCTGCTAACCGAGCTAGCTCAGCTTGTTGCTCTGATAACTTAAGATCCAGACGTCCGCGACTAAAATCCTTCATCCGGTTAAAATATAGTTAGAAAAATACCAATTGTATAGCATTAAAGTTCAAGTAAGGATGCTTTGCAGAAAAAAAACGGTCTTTTCTTCAATTCCTGTATTCTTTCATATCGCAATGTCAAGTTTTTTCCAATATCGTGCATCCCTACTATAGTCCCATATAACCAGTGAGAATCAATATGAATAGTGATATGCTCTCAACCCCCCCCCCCGTTATATAAGGCAATACATCTTTATTGCTCATAAAGTGGTGTTACCCTCAACCGTGTCCTCTGCAGGTTGCTCCTGAGGATTTTCCTGATCTCCTCCTCTCGGCCTTTCGTCAGCTGGGACGGAGCTTTCTCAGCAGGCTTGGCAGGAGGAGGCTTCTTGGGCTGGATGTTCCTGATAAATATAACACAAGTTAGGATTATGCGTGTTTGTACTACAGACACACATGACAGGTGACACAGACAATAACAAAACCCCAATTATCTTAAAGGTCCCCTATTATCCGGTTTTTCATCAATATATGATAAGTCTCAGATATATACAAAACATGTCTCTGAAGTGTTTGGCTCGAAATACCAAACAGGTCATTGCAGCATCCCATAATCCCCTCTGTTTCAGCCCTGTTTCAAAAGTGCTGATTCTCTGTCTGTTACTTCAGATGAAAATAAGGAGCCACAATGGTGCTCTAGGAGGAGATGCAGGTGATAAGGTGTGTGGGGGGTGTGGGGGGGGGTTACCTTGGTTGGTCATTGGCTAATGGTTACACAAGCCAAAAAATCGTTATGACATCATAAAGTGGCCAAAATCTGATCAGATCGTTTTCAGACAGGTTTTTATATAAATGGATCAGGACAAAAAGAGAGAGAATCTTTGTTCCTGAAACTTTCAGAATCTCTTCACACAGTCTACACATGGTGATGTATAAAAGACATGAAAAAGTGGATTTTGCGTAATAGGTGACCTTTAATTATTTTCTCCTGCTATGTAATGATCAGAAGACTAATAGCTAGTGGCTTGTTAACTGTGAAGTATCAATATTCTTAATGGCCCTGTTGAATTCATTCAGCTGACAGGTCTGACCTTATCTGTTCTCGTGTTATCGCTTCATTTGATAGAGGTAGAGTAAAAAAAGAAAATATTATTTATACTGGGATCATCTAATTCTCAACACTGCAGATCTCTACTGATGTATCAAACTATCTTCAGCTTTTACTTACATTTAGTAATAAATAACCAATGCACACCTGCTGGGTGTTAAGACTGACCAACGCTAACAATTCATCACTGACTAATTGATACTGCAGATGTGTGACATGAGGCGTAAACAGCTGCTTTTTTAAAGGTTACAGCATAAAAGCATTCTGAATAATGAAAAGCAAAGACTCCTCATCTTGGTGCATTCACACATGACAGAGACGATCATTCAAATGCTGTTAATGTAATACTAGCTGCTTAGAACTAACATCCATTAGCCGGTCTCTCAATCAAAAGTGATTTTAAGAATATTTAGATATGGAAAAATTGAATAAAACGTTCAAAATAAAGCCCTTGACGTATTATAAATCAAACAAAAGACTATAGAGTGTGGTATTAAACAACGTATGAAAGAGGAACTGTTACTTCCTGTTCCATGTAAAGCTTTGACAGAAACTACTGCGGTTAAAAGGGTCCAGATGATTTTGAACTGATTACTATGCATTAAGAAGACATTTTACTTAATCAGAAAACACAAAGTATTAGAAAAAGAAATAATCGACTGCAATGAAAATGTTTTATAATTACAGTGTATCAAATTGCTTCTGTCAGCTGTTTCTGCAGATATATAGCAAGTTTCAGCTCATTAATTAGCAGCCTAGCCCACATTTTTAGATTTAAGGTCACTCTCAAAGCTTGTTTTTGCTGAAAAAGTATAAAAACTATACTGGGAACTACCTGCATAACATACGGCAATAGAGAGTGACTAGCTATAGATTCAGATATTTCCCCAGGAGTTTGTAGAGACAAAAATCTGAGCTAAAAGTGAGTGAATTTTGTTTAAATAAATAACTTTTAGCTTCCAATTCTTCCAATTCAACTTTTAAAACATGATGACATATTGCTGCCCCCAAGTGGCGGTAACAATCAGTAAAGCTTTAAGAATTCGGGACAGTTGGGTATTCTGAGAGGATGACAGAAGACAGAGTGCAGAGATGGCACAAAAGTACACACATCCTTTACTCAAGTAGAAGAACAGATACTCGTGTTTAAAAATAAAACTTGTTTACTCAAGTAAAAGTAAAGAAGTATGGGCTTCGAAATGCACTTAAGTAAAAAGTACCCATAAGTACCAACTGTTTTAAAGAGTAACCGACCTCCCTTTATATTAATAGAACAATAATGTAATTGTTAGCTAATGAATGTTTCTTCTTTAGAGAAGAGCAGGAAATGATGGATACACGGATCGTGTTCAAATCAATAGGCACGCAATGACTCTAAAGAATAATGATCACGCCACCAAACACACATTCAAACTAAAGTAACCAGCCTGTGTTCAAAATGTAAGAAGTAGAAAGTACAGGTATTTGTGTTAAAAATGTAAGAAGGGAAAGTAAAAAGTCGTCAGAAAAATAAGTAGTGGAGTAAAGTACTGGTACCAGAAACATTTACTTAAGTACAGAAACAAAGTATTTGTACTCCACTACTTCCCACCTCTGACAGAGTGTATGCTCACACTTACTGCATGGAAACAGTGGAAGGCATAGCAGACGGCAACTTGAATCCTCCTCCGCTCTCCACCATCTCAATGGCCTGTTTGAACTCCATCTTGTGGTAGAAGGCGATGAGCTGTGGCTCCTTGGAGCGCTCGCCTGCAATCAGGCACTTCTTCACATACTTCTTGTTGAAGCGGTTCAGTCTGGGAGGAGGAAATGAGTTACAGATGAGAAGAACCACAAGGGAAAATCAGACATTGAGTAAGAACATGACAGAGAGGTTGTACATCTCTAATGCATATTGGAAGAAAACAAAAAGGAAACGTTTAAAGTGGCAAATAGACAAGCAGGTTGTTTCAACTTAACATTATGAAGTACATGTTGAACGCACAATGTAATGGCAATAAAACAATGACACCATCAGTGTTAACATTGGTTACGCCTCTCAACAAAATGCATTGTCCTGTGCAATTTTGCCAGCTTTCTTCTAATAATTGTAGCTAGCATTAGTTCCTAAAATCTCTTAAATTTGGTAGATGATGTCATAGACTTGTTTGCATCTTGGAGTCATATATGCTTAGCTCAGTGGTTATGTCAGTGACAGCATAGGCGAGACTGACTGTGCACTGCGTAAGATGAGAGGTCGAGCCGGAGATAGACTGCGATTACTCTGAGCAGCGTTAACTGTATAATCCATACTTGTCCTTCCAGTGGTGGTGTCCATAGTGTCCACAAATGTCCTCAATTCCAGTCAGGAGGTGGTCCAGGAACTGGGGAGAAAAGAGGCAAAACGGTTTTTAAAAGGAGACTGACAAACAAATTAAAGACTCATCTGACCCTTACCTTCTCTGTGGATTATTTTTATTTATTTTGTAAAACAGACCTAACAAGATACATAAATGTCCAGTAAACTAACCTACAGTAGGTCTAATAAACACAACTTCCCAGGGTCCCATGCTACATCTGCTTTAGTACAATATCAAAAGGAATGTTGACAAAGACTTTCTATGTACTTTTTCTTTTTCCAATGTTTTATATGTACAGTACTTGGAGACAAAATGTTTGTTTTCTGCTTTAAAAACCATAATGTATGATCACCAATGTTAATAACTGTGATTACAGATGCACTAAGGCACCACAGACATTACATTTGCGTCACCACAGTTACCATTCCTCCAGTAACACCCCCTCCCAGCCAACATCATTACTAACAGCAGCAGGTGAGCAGCTATAAGACTGAAGTCGTGGGAGAGAGCCAGAAGCACCCAGCTGACTGATGGGACTGCGCTCATTAGCAGTGGCTGCACGCCTGCTCACTGGAATTTATAAATGCATTTGTTTCTCAGACCGCAGCCCTGGTGCTCTGACTCAGTCTGTAGATGCCTGTCTGACATGCAGCGTTACTATGGAAACAAGTCATTAAGTGGAGCCACATCATTTACCTCTGCTTGTCAGAAGAGACTGATATATGTAACGGCTGCACAGCGACGAGGGTGGGGGTGAAACGGTCAGTTTGCAAAAGAGGCAACTTTATGCTAAATAGTCCAGAAGCTCAAGGGTGAGAATATACAGCATAATGTTAGGATGCTCTCCTGGTTACACTGAACCTGAGTCCTGGGTGTATTCCTCTTTAACTACGAACATCTTGACATCTCCTACTGCTTTTATATGATTATATGTAACTATGGATTCATTTTCTTGTCAATTAATGAGCTGATGTATTGATTTATCTTCTTAAAGTTCAAGGTAATGCCTCCATATATGATATTTTTTACCTATAAAAACAAGATATTCAGTTTAATATGACCTAAAAGTGAAATTTGAAAGGTGGGAAAATGCATTTTGTGCCTTTCACATCCTAGACTCAGTTACAAATACATCAAGTTAAATCACAAAAAGCATCTGCAGTATCTTTGTGGGACAGGTATGAATTTGGTAAATAATTGAATAGCCTCGAAACCAGATGACTGGGTAGCATTTTATTTCTGATTTAATGCTTCGGTGTGAGCAGCGGGAGTGCGTCCTCAGGTCATATCACCGGTGGTTTATGGTGGAGGAGAAGCCATTAGGAGAGCCTGCTCTTCTAGCCCTGAGCACTGATGACTAACTGCAAAGCCTCAGAGAGGTACAGTGTGTGTGTGTTTTTATCTGAGCCGTATTTATAGCTTTACATAACTCGGGACTTCTGGATTAGAACCAACAATTGTATGTGAGATAGTGTGTTCAAGTTAAAATTAACTAAATGGTAAAATGTTAATTCTTTGGATTTATATTTACCATGCTGGAAAAAATGTATATATATTTCCATGCTGTAACTGTACACAGTAGAGCACACTAGATAAGGTGTAGTACTACCACACAGCCAGTAGGTGGAAGCAGCAGTCAGCATTTGATGCCCTGAATGGCCTCAGAGGCTTGTTACTGGAGGACTGCTGATATTAAAATGATCTGCTTTTTAAAACATTCATCCCTTCGCATTTAGTTGTTTCAATTTGTTTCAATCTATACATTTGAATTCACAATTAAGTTCTTTGGTGTATTTGCTTGTTTGCATGTTGTTGTTGTTGTTGTTGTATGTTACTGTTCTCTGTTTACAATCCAGTGGTAGCTCATTTCCCCTTCTTGTGAGTGATATAGTTTTGAGTTTGAGTTTGAATCATATGTCTATTAATGCTTATGTCTGTGTGTTGGCTAAATAAAATCATACAAAACCAGACAGTAAAGGAGAATGCGTTGCTGTTGTCAAACACGGTATCTCGGTGAAAGATCAAAGTACATTTAATTCATTCATCCCCTATAAAAAGGCTCTGGGTTTTTCATATGTTTAAACCATAAAGAAGTCATCAGCTTCTGATCATGAAGACTGAGGATGTTTGCAGGGAGAGGTCGTACCTGGGTGTGGATTTCCTCATTAATGGTCCGCTTGGCCTCCTGTTTCTTCTTCACCGCCAGCAGCTCCACCAGGGGTTGGATGGTCATGCCCTGCACGAAGGAGCAGAGAAACAATCATTATTCACCTCCTGACCCTAGCGAAAACACAGAAATAGGCTCTTATCAGCAATCTATCTAGTATTCAGGAGTGAAATGTGACGAGTGCATGTGGATTTACAGTGCATCTGTAATGTTTTGTATCATTTCTGTGTGGAGAGGCCAATATAAAACACTCAAATCACTACTCTGAGTACTGACAAATCTCTCCAGGTTTATAATACCATTGAAGATAACTAAAACAGATCCACTATGCTTGTTTCTTCATTCTTTCAAGTAAGCATAAGCACAGTATTGCCCCACTTCAATGTGATGTCACAGTTCCCGGATGTTGCAATGGCGTATTAACAAACGGCAGATCTTAAAACGACTTTTCACAACCCTGTTGATGTTGCTATAAGTCTCTTACAAAGTCACAGATATCCCCTTCAAATATCTAAATCTTAAACAAATCTGCTAAACCACATCCTAGAAAGATAAAACCAGTGAAAAGCTTGAGCAAATCATGTGGTTTCTTAAAGAGATTAAGCCAGCCCTCTGGTTAACTAACAGCATAATGTGGAAGACAGAATATTTCTCTTGCTCTTTAATAATACCCAGTCCTGCTACCAGGCATGTAGAAGAACCTTTTACCACCTCCCCACATTTCAATTTAGCCACACAAAACATGAAATAAGGAAAACCAATGACATGTATTCCTTCTCTTTAAACATGGAGAATGTTATTATGTCAAGTTTATCCCATTTCTTGAATGTTCCAAGTGCTGCTTCAGGCCAATCAGCGGTATTTAACAAATGTCAGAATAGAGTTTTGAGTCATGCAGTGGCATTAAAGAGAACTTTTTTAATAACCTAAAGAGTAATCCGTCCATAGGGCGTACCTCAGTTTACTATGGGGGAAATATAATCTATGTTATGTTATAAATGTCCTAACCAACCTAAGATTACTCTGATCATTTGTGCAGTCATGCTAACCATAGTTTAACGTCCAGTGACAACTAATAAGACCATTTGGCCAATTAGCCCAAAGGCAATTCGTTACTATTCTAACCGTTAACCGTACACACTCAATCCCACTCTCAGTCTCGGAGTCCAACTTTAAAGGTCCCCTATTATACTATAGGTCTCTATACAAAACATGTCTCTGAAGTGTTTGGCTCCAAATACCAAACAGATCATTGTAGCATCCCATAAACCCCTGTTTCAGCCCTGTTCCAAAAATGCTGATTCTCTGTCTTTTACTTTAGATGAAAATAAGGAGCCACTCCCCACTGCGAGATATTTGGTTTAAAAAAAACACAATAGGCGCTTTAGGAGTACTTTTCCCAGGAATAGTTCCGATAGTTCCTGGGATTTTGCTTTCATACCAAAAAGATCTGGAACTAAAACCTAGTTCATGCAAACCTTTTCACCCCTTTTTAGTCCCTGCTAGAGAGCAGGTACTTTCCTGGGGAGGAAAAGGTTCCCATTTCTGATTGGCTGGGCGGATTGCAAACCACACCCCGTAAAACTCGGAAAAGTTTTGTGAAGACGTCATTTTATTTGCTCGCATTAGCATTATTAGCATTAGCATTAGCCCAGCGCACCAACGGAGAGAGACTATAACTTTTGGCAACACAAAAAAACATGGGAGCGGTGGAGTGATGAGGAGGTGTCGGCGCTTCTGCCGATTTACTCGGAAGACGCTAACCAGCAGCTTCTACTGAAGCCAGTCCCCAACTCCGGGGGGACTCCAGGACTTCGGGTGGCAGTATACGCCGTGAAGTTGTTTGCGGCCTGCCATTAAACCCAAAGCAGCAGAAGAATAAGTGACGTCAGCGGCTTCATTTGCCTAATCCTCCCCCAGGGACTTATTCCGGTGTTAACGCGATTTACTAGGACAGTTCCGGGACTAAAGAGTTCGGCGGGACTAAGTACTGGGAACTAAGTACGGCAAAGTACTTGGTGTGAAAGCGGCTAGTGGTGCTCTAGGAGGAGATTCAGGTGATAAGGTGTGGGGGGGGGGTTACCTTGGTTGGATATTGGTTAAACAAGCCAAAAAATCGTTATTACATCATAAAGTGGCCAAAATCTGATCAGATCATTTTCAGACAGGTTTTTATATTTATATTTAGATCAGGACAAAAAGTGAGAGAATCTTTCTTCCTGAAACTTTCAGAATCTCTTTACACAGTGGGGACACATGTTTATGTATAAAATACATGAAAAAGTGGATTTTGCATAATAGGTGACCTTGAAATAACTTCACATTGCAGGTGAGAGGGACCTCCACCTCCCCTCCCCAGGGGCCTCATTTATAAAAGGGATATACGCTAAAAAAATGGCGTACGCCAGTTTCTACGCAATATTTGCGATTTATAAAATACTAACTTGGCGGGAAAATGTGCGGTCCTCCACGCAAACTCTAACCCATGCGTACGCACTAAGCACAAAAACGGGAGAGACGAGAAACTGCGACACTGCGTTGGCAGAAGGAAGAATGGAGAGAAATATGTGGAAATAATACCATAAATAAAATGTTACATTTATCATATGAAGAATTCATTTTCAAACATTGATTAAAGCCAATCTTAAAATGATTAAACAAACGCCTGTTTGAGACTCCTCAGTGCACACAAAAACATAACTTGGAGAAATAAATAAATACGGATATGTTATTTAAAACCACCTGGAATATGTTGTGTTAATGTTATGAAATGTTTTCTCATAAATGATGCGGTTTTGCATTTCTATAGGTTGTACGAGCATGGTTTTATATACTACCATGTTTAATCATGTTTTATGCCGTTTGCTAAGACTTGATAAGTCGCTCATAAAACACAGGAGGTATGGAAACTAAGAACACCATATGTGGTAAATTGTACAGCTAATATAACGCAACACATTATTGTATTTCCTTTAACTGGTGGATATAGAGTTGCTGCAGTGGAGACGCTGCGCACAGCTGATCGACAGCTGGGACACAAACCACCAAATAGAAAAACATAATTCAGATCCAGTCGTCATGACTCCACTCCGGAGGGATTCCCCGATCATTTCTTACAGTTCATCTCTCATCAAGGGGGTGTCTCCTGTCCCCGGTACAAACACACTGCCTGAGGAAGGCTCTGTGTATTGTTTTTGTCATTAACCTTTTTCGGACCACTTATTTATTTATTTTGGTGAAGATCCGACCTCCATGCTGCTACTTTGGTTCAAACGGCATCCACCAAACAATATGATTTATCTCCACCTCCCCAAAATAACCAAAATCTGACACGGTGTGATTTGTCTTTTTTAGCTGTTCTGTCGTCATTTCCTGCGATCTTCTTCATAAAGTCAGTCAAAATGAATGAATGAATGGGCGTTTCTTTGACTATTTAGAGGCAAATATGGGCGTTACGTGAAGCCCGCAAAAGCTGCACCGCATTTCGAGTCGATTGTGATTTATAAAAGGGAAACCGGCGTAGGAAGTGCTGTACGCACTTTCCTCGCCGGTACGCAATGTTTGGTGAATCGGAAAATGTCGGAACATTTCTGTACCTATTTTTTGGATTTCTACTACGTAAGCAACCTTCCCACGTGAATCCTACGCACGGCGTTATAAATGAGGCCCCTGGTCTCAGCATCAGACAGTATGAATAAAACATGTTTCTGATCCTGCCTGAGGAGAGAGAACATGTCTTCAGGATTTATTTTGTCTGCTTCCATTCTGGTTCGACTTGACATCCGAGTATCTTCCTACAGTTTCACTAAAAGATGGTTCAGCTGACAGGACCGTGCTGATGCAGTTCATGGTGCTAAATATACATAGTACTGGTATGTATGGAACTACTGCCTGTTTGTCTTTATCTTGCCATCATGTACTGTTTTTGTATATTATGTTGATGTTCATTCTGTGAGATACAGGAGAAACGTCTCTACATAAAACCATATTTTGTATTCCTTATGCACCTGAGTTACATTTGATTCATTCGTTTGTTCACCTGCCTGTTTGGCTATCAGCATACTTTAAGTAGAAGCTGAAATGATATGTTCCTAAACCAGCTGAAACTGTTTTTTTAAAGAAGAAATAGACCAAGAAAGCCTATCGACTTGATGTGTGAAATTAATCTTTTTGTTCTATTCAGGGTAGCAAATTAACGTCTTGTCGAAAACACACAAGCGTTCCTTTGATGTCTCATCCTCAGCATGACCATTACAATTAGGGAGATTCACAGGCCTGGAATAAAGGGTTGCAAATAAAATATTTGTTCTGAGATAGATTGTTTTTTTCCAGTGATGCGAGTGGAAATTCAAACTAGACCTGCTAGGCAAATAAACTACACCTAAAAGGAACTTTTTTGCAAAGCAATATAGTTGGTGATGACAATTGCAAATAAGTGGGTAACAAACAAAACATGTGATTAAATGACTGTCTATTACTTGGAATAGTGCACCATACGACCAACAGTAAAAGAAAAATTCCGGGGTTAGATACATTTTGAAGCGTGGGTATCTCTTTGCATGGTGCATTGAATGTGTTCATAATAACATTGCATAAGTTGCACTTGGACAGACTCTTACTAAGGCCAATGGTGGATTCAGGTGCTCCTGATGTTCCTATATTCAGTGTTAGGAAGTCGGACTGTGTTCATGAGCTTTAAGTCGTAATGTGGAAACAACAGACACGAGAAAGATGTTTAAGAAAACACATTTCAACTTGAGAGTGCATTTACATGGATTTAACCAGACACCGCGTGAAAAAAGACATAAATAGACAGTATACAATGTTGACGAAAGTAAAAGATAATTTGTGTATCAGCCCAGTAATTCGGAACTGCTCCAAAACCTCATGGGTGCTAACTTGAACCATGCTTAATCCTTCAACCAAGTTTCATTCAAATTGGTGCGTAATTAGACTGACAGACAAAGAAATACACAAAGTTTTCTCCTTCTAATGTTTGTTTAAATTGGACTACATAAACTGCATATTCATACCTGAACAAAGACGGTGAAGAAGACAACGGTGATGATGGCTGTGAGGAACATCTCCCTCATGGGGAAGAGATTCTTTTTCAGCAGGAAGCCGAGGGAGAAGGCGATGGCTCCTCGCAGGCCACCGTAGGCGATGATGAACTGGTCCTTGGTCGTCAGCTTGACAATGCGGAACTTGTTGATCACATAGGTCAGACCAACCACACCTGGGAAGGACAGTGAAATGAGAAAGTGAGATTGGGTTTGGGACTTTGAGTGTATGGTACCTGCAGAGATCAACAAATGTTCTCTCCAGAAGTGCTTGCTAAAAACTACCACATTAAAGCTTTCCCTCATGATTCACACAGCAGGTTTTCGTTATAATTACAACCAAAAAAACATGCATAAAAAAAAAAAGTTGACCCTTTCTTGACATAGCGAATCCATTAAAGTCATATCTGCTTTTGCCCCATAAGTGATGTGTGGTCATGCTTTGCTGCCCATTTAAACCTATCTCTACTTGCATACATGACGTTATTTTAATTGAGTGCCAATCACCACCAAAGTATGCAATTTAAATGTAATATCAAATTGAAGTACATGGAAACCAATTGCTGCCAGGAGGATTTGAAAAAACACTTAAAGGGGACCTATCATGCAAAATGCACTTTTCCATGTCTTTTCTACATCAACATGTGTCCCCTCTGTGTAAAGAGATTCTGAAAGTTTCAGAAAAAAAGATTCTCTCTCTTTCTGTCCTGATCCTGTTTTTTGGCTTGTGTAACCATTAGCCAATCACCAACCAAGGTAACCCCCCCCCACACACACACACCTTATCACCTGAATCTCCTCTTAGAGCACCATTGTGTTGTTTTTAACCAAATCTCTCTCAGAGGGGCGTGGGGAGGGGCTCCTTATTTTCATCTAAAGTAACAGACAGAGAATCAGCACTTTTGAAACAGGGCTGAAACAGAGGGGATTATGGGATGCTACAATGATCTGTTTGGTGTTTCGAGCCAAACCCTTCAGAGAGAGTAAACAAACCAAAACCTGCATTTTTTTTTTTCTAACACAAGATACTGTTCATGTGATGTGAGCAAGATGTGCATGATAATTGATTGTAACAATCCACAGTCACAGACGGCATATTTGTCTTTGGAAATGTTGCTCAAAGCATCATCAGCTCTCTACAAAATAAATGAAGGGGCGAATTCACAAAACGATTGCACGGCTTTTGCAGCCGCTTAACCTGCACCAACAAGACAAAAAGAAACTGTGTACGTCTACAAAGCCCTCCTGGCTGAACTACCAAGAAAAAACATTAAATCATATGCATTTAAAAGCAAAACCAGCCTGTTTCTATCAAAAAGATCCTCGCATAAAACAGTCACATTTTACAATGACCAGATCTAGTGTAAAATGATATTGTCTTCAGTAGGGCTGTGCAATTAATCGTTTTTTAATCTCGATTATGATTTTGGCTTGCAACGATTACGAAAACAACGTAATCGAAATAAAATGATTATTATTTTTAATATTTTTAATTATTTGTTTTATTATAATTTTGTATTGTGTTTTCAGTTGAATTATACTTAAAGTATAGAGTAATCAACTGTTAAAAACATACTGTTCACATTTTTTTTTTTCAATAAATTGATGTTTTCAAAGTAAATGGATAATCGTTTTTGATAATCGTGATATCAATTATTGACCCAAATAATCGTGATTATGATTGTTGTCCTAATCGAGCAGCCCCAGTCTTCAGAGAGTTTGTGGTTAATGAAGCTCATAAGGGGTTAATAAACTCTTGACATAAGAGAATGTAATGAATATTTTTGTCATTAATAATGTATAATTGAAACCCAATGACATATGTATGGTCTCCAGCACAGAGGCATATGATGATAATGAAAGAAGATAAATGAACTAGGTCTGACTTGGGCCAGTAAAAAGAAAGTAGCCCAAGCCCAGTATGACAGTAAAAATGTTTACTCGCTATCAGCTCTTCTTTTTGTGATTTTGCCCGTCAGTATTGCAGGACTGAAGGTACTCCACTATCACTCTCTGTCTCTCCAGCAGCACTATTAACTATGGCAGTGTTTCCCCTACCATTGTCTTGGCAGGGCGCTGCGCTCCCCCTGAAATTCAAGGTGTTTTTTTTTTTTAAATAATACATATTTATAGCACCAAATAGCAACTAATCTATATCTACTGTCACTTTTCACATTGAACATCTGCTCTTTTATTAAATAAACTAAACACTTTCATTTTTGTTATGAGTTTAGTGTTTTTGACCCTAAGAAACACTGATGCATTAATCAATAACAATAATCCACAGCGCCTCTCGCTGCTCCAGAGGATGTACAAAAATTCAATATCCCAACAACACCCCCCCCCCAGACAGCACCCCCCCAAAGCAGTAAACCTAGGGGAAACACTGTAGTATGACAAATCACCAGCAGAAGGATTGTGACGCTGTGTGAAGTCAACATGGAAATCCTGGTTGGCGCTTCCCTTACACACACTGACAGCTGTGTGATGAAACATGGAGGCCACATTAACTCCTGTCAGTGTTTCCACTTCCCTCTTTTAGAAGTTCCTTTTACTCGCATTGATTTCCTTTTTTGGGTAAATTAGACCTTACTTCAAAAAGATGCATTTATGTATTTTGAGAATTGCTTTTTGATTTGCATATAAGCTCTGTCAATGACAAATCAAAGGCACTTTAAGCTGAAATCTGAAGTGACAGCTGTTTAAATCTATCAGTGAAAGCAAACGTCAAAAATATGTTTTATGAGTTAACCCCGAAAAATATGTCAGATTTAAAACACTTTTTCCTATGCAGATTAAGCGTTTCCCCTCCATACACTCCACACCCCAGCATGGAAACACTATTTTCATTTGAGGAAGTTGTGAGAATCACTAGAGCTGACCTATGACCCGAGACACCAGACACAGAAGAACGGTGACGGTGACGAAGGTCCAGTTCCAGTGGTGAGGTCCGTCCACCGTGGCCACTCCCAGGAAGATGAAGATAAGAGTCTCGCTGACGCTGCTCCACATTTTCAGGAAGTACTTGACGGTGGTGTGGGATTTGTGGGAAATGTTGGCTTCCACATAGGGTCGCATCGTCGCTCCACATGCTATTAACCTGAAAGGAGAAGATTCAAACATTGACTTCTGGGAAATATCAACAAACATCTATTTGGATAACAATGTTTCCAAATGTGCTAATGCTTGGATGTCTGTCAACTAAAATGAAACACTGTTAAAAAATTAAGATGAAGTAGGATTCATATTTAAATGTCAAAGGAGGAAGTGGTGGTTTTACTTAAGACATCATCAACAGTGACTATTTTTACACTGATTTTGTAAACATGTGACATTAACAAAAAATGTCTTCCTCCTTGTCTAGGGACCACTTCTCTATTCCATTCTGGACAGGCAATGCGTCTATGTCAAAAATGTGGAGGCCCGAAATGAACGCTATTCATGTCCAGCAGCTGCTCAGCGGTCACCTCATGCCTACTCCATGTCAATATTGGTTTGGTTTTCAAAGCTGTAAGGCAGGGGTGTCAAACTCAAGACCCGTGGGCCAAATCCGGCCCGCAACTTCATTTTATGTGGCCCCGCAAGATCTTGCAAAGAATACAATACGTTAATTATACGGTTACATGCCGCTTTACAAAAGCATGTTGCCCATAAACTACATGTCCCACAATGCATTTAGTTTTGTGACACACGCACTGAAGAGACTTGCAATTATTTGCCCTAGACTTCTGCTTTCAGACGTAATTCATTTTGAAGTTATTATCCTATCCGATAATAATCCAATGCAGAGGCAATAATGTAATATAATACATTATTTTATATATATTATATAGTTATATATGTATCTTTTTTTATAGTCTTAAAGTTACAACTGGCCCTTTGAGTGCAACCATAATGCGAATGTGGCCCGCGATGAAATTGAGTTTGACACCCCTGCTTTAAGGGGACGATGAAAGGAATTCAAACCAGCAAGCAGTTTCTCTTCTACTTTGTAAACACCACAACAAATCTAATTTTGATAGAAAAGAGCCCCAGGCTTTGGAAAAGATTGTCCTTGAAAATACAAATTATTCGGCCCTGAGTCAGAGAGGGGACTCTGTATATCATCACTCCCTGTCTGCAACATCAATAACTCCTAGCACCTTAAACTGAAGAAGGATTGAAACTGCAGGAGCTGATGAGAAACAGAGAATATTGGGATGCCTATAAATCAAGGTTTGGTAAAGTGACGTTGGATCAGTTCAATTTATGAAACCACTGGGGCTACAGTGTAATATGCCACGGTGTACAGCTGAGTTACTGTTATAGGGCAATGACTGAAATAGATTGTTCTTGCACTCGGAAGGCTGATATTGACCGGGACATTTCATCACTGAGGAAATATCAACATACTAAAAACATGTGATCCAAGAGGGATGTCACTGAAACAGCTGGAGTATTTCCGAGAGCGCACATGATACGCTGGACATGTGTAAGTGCGGATCTAAAGCACAAAACTACAAGTCTTAACGATTCTAGGACAAACAATGCTGACTATGCATGGACTCAGAAAAGGCTTTAAAAGACGTCTTCTGAACGCATACACTACAAATGTATTCTGATTTGTGCCATACATGTACAACATGTAGTTGTAATCCTTCCAATAGTTGCTTAGATAAATGCTGCTGGTGTCAAAAACAATAAAAAACAGTCAACTGTTAACTTACGATGAATGAGATGAAACTCATTAATTTACTCTAGAAATGTCTGTGTTATTGTTGGTGATTATCCTAAGTTGCACATTACTTTGGAATAGATAAAGTGGTTGCAAAGGAACATTTGAGTAATACAAAAATAAAACACTTACGCCATGATGCCAGAGAGGTGGAACACCTCAGCTGACAGGTAGGCCATGTAGGCGTACACAAAGACAAAAAGTGGCTCTATGACCCGCACATGGGAGGTGAAGCGGGAGGTAAAGGCGGCCAGGAGCCCGTAGATGACTCCAACTAGAACGCCTCCGATGGAAACCACCAGGAAGGAGATGATTCCCAGGAAACAGTCCAGCACCGTGACTGTGCCGGCACGTGTGTACTCCTCAAACAGGTGGTATAACACCTAGGAGAGGATGAGGAGTGTGAATAGTTATTAGAAAAAAGCAACAGAGGGATGACAGTTTAAAAAAAAATCTAGGTCATTTAATGCACCTGTATTGATTCTCTGACTGTGATCAAAAGAGGAAGAAAGATTAAAGACGTCATGATGGAAATGTGAAAACAGGGTGAATGTCAAAGCAAACTAAAATCCATAACGTGTACAAAATGATAGATTGGTTATAGGTATAGATACGTTTTAAAACATTTAAGGTTTTCACACTTACTTAACATGTGTTGTTGTATATTTAAAAGGCTGCTCACATCCTTTAAATGTTCTGCAAGTATTAGGAAACCGAATAGATAAGATGGATGCGTTATGATTCGCTAAGTGTCTCACTATGGGAATATATGTATGACAGGCATAATGTGATGCCAGGCAGGATGATCATGCAGATGAATGCCAAACGCTTTAAGGCTGATAAGCTCTGCTCGCGCTCTCTGTGGGTCCTCGACTCAAACGTGCCTGAGCCAATGATGGCACAGTGCCGTCCAGCTTGATAAAGTGTGCATGGAAGCCAAACTCGTAGTTGAATTTGACCGAGAGACAGAGGCCCACGGTGAATGAGCAGGGTTATGGAAATACTTGGCAAAGTATTAATTTACATAAGTGTTGTGATAGTTCATGTCAGAAACAAAGGTTGTGGAAACTTAAGTCAGTGCCTTGCAAAGCTATGATGCTAGCGCTGTTGGTAACGTTATACTGTAGTGGAGCCGTTTGTGTTTCTGTGAGCCGAGGACAATTCAGTGGTGACAGACTAGTCAGTCAGTCAGAAGCTGTGTGTTGACAGCTTTAGTCCAAGGTTATAAGAACTAAATTCACTTTTAATATGGAACTAAATCTGATAACAAAAGACGTCTGTGCAGCACTATTTTAATTTGTGTCAATGAGAAGCCCTCTTTGTAAAAAGGGTTACAAATATCTTATGTGTTTCAGAGGGAGAATATCTTGACGTTTCTCTTGCACTATTGTATCTGTTTTATGTCCTCTATATTCATGTTGCACTGTTGGAGGAGCCTGTGACTGAAGTTGTTCATTGCCATATGTACACTGTAGCTACTGTGCACATGACAATAAAGCCTTGAATCTGAATCTTGAGAGCTGAGTAATAACTGACACGCAGTTAGGGCTGTTCTAATAATTCAGGAGCCTCTCAGGGATACAACCAAAGGTTTACATCCCGGCATATCACATGTATTCTTGACAGAGAATATTGGTTTTGTATTGTCTAAAAAAAGTTTTAGATTTTAAAGATTTTAACAAGATATAGGGATGACGTTGTTTAATCATAACTGGGTGTTTGCAGCTTATTTATTTATCTGGTTTGTTATTTTATCTTTTCTTGAATATCATTTACCTCGGTTATGTATTACGTATTGTGTTTGTTTATTTATTTGTTATTTTATGTTTTGTTTTTTCAATAAGAAATGTATTTCTTTAAAAATAATATATATGTTAATAATTTAGTTGTTGGGAGAAGGGGTGGGATTAAATAAATGTAAACTTCTTCCCACCCCTTTTCGAATGTGTAATTAAGTAGATTATTTGTTTACACATAATTTAGAATCCGTCATATTTTTTAATATTTTAATTTTGTATTGTATAATAATTCTCATGTTAAATGTTTGTATTATTGTTTTACACATTCAAAATAAATCAAATCAAATCAAAATCAAATTGGAGAACTGACAAAACAATAAAGGCATTGTCTGATAAGAGAAAACGCACTAAAGTCTGCTCCCAGCCACATATTTCCTGTGGCGGTCACTCACCACAGTGACAGCATCGTTAAGCAGAGATTCTCCAAACACCAGGATGTGCAACAGTTCATTGATGTGGATCTCCTCAAACACAGCCAGCACGGCCACAGGGTCCACAGCGGAGATGATGGAGCCGAACAGCAGGCAGGGCAGCAGCTCGATCTTGTGAAGGATGGAGGGATTGGCCGGCTGGATCTGACACACGGCGTACAGCAGACCCCCGATGAAGAAGGCGTTCCACAGGGTCCCCACCACCGCAAACATCAGGATGGTGCCCAGGTTCTCCATGAAGGGCCGGATGGGCAGGAAGTAGCCGGCATCGAGGATGATGGGCGGCAGCAGGCAGAGGAAGAACAAACGGGAGTCCAGCACTGGGGGGACGTCTTCTCCAGCTAGTTTGATGAGCCCCCCCACAAGCAGACCCACGGTGATCAACAGGCAGCTCTCTGGCACAATGCTGGACAGACGAGGTATCATGTGGAACCCTGGGAAAATGGATGAGACAAGCAGATACAATTCAGTGGCATGTTTGGAGACGTAGAACAGGAAGAAGGGAATTATCTGGAAATCAACTGCCGGATCCCTTGCTTTAGGCCTTAAGAGAAGTGGAAGTTTGTTTGTCTCCGTCTGAGTGATGTTACCATTAACTGGAATTGTATCTATTGGTTTTCTGACTAAATGAAAGGTAAACTGAATTCTGGCCAACGACAACATTAGAAGAGCAATGAGCTGTGACATACCACACTTCTGTGAGTACTAGCACCACCCTTGTTACACATTCTAACTTCTGCAGAGCTCTTGGGTGAAAAGAATAGCTAGTGTATGTGACATGTTAGCAAATCCATGATAATACAGCAGGAAATGAGTATTCTCCATCGCTAACGTTTGTAGGAAATGCAGAGGGAAATACTTCAGATGTCTGTGTAGGCTGTGCAGACATGTCAGAGCTTGCGTGATGTCTTTTGTTCAATGTGACTACAACCTGAAAAAAGAGAGCTTTTAAAGAACTGATATTCTAAGCCGTAACTTACATAATAACAGTGGCTCATTGTTATAGATGTAGGTAGTGAATAAACAAATGCACTGTACATGCTGATTAGTTACTGGTGTGACATAGCTAAAACAATGGCCTTGTGAATTCTTGAAGGAAAAAATGGAAATAATATGCAAAATATTTATCGTATACAGATCTCACATGACATGTTTAGCAAGTCTAGGCTGCCATGATCTCACAGTATTCCCTCACAGCTTCTATTTGTCCTCTGAGACCCACATTATTGAAATAACCTTGTGAAATGATCTGCTATTGCTTGAGACACAAGTTACAGCACAAACATATCTGTATGGATTCCTGACAAATTGTTAATGTTATGATTTACAAGCACTTACTGCGGGACAAATGACAAAGGTTGCTGGACTTTAAAAGGCCCCCCTTATTGTCTGACAAGTTAACATGGGAACATAAATACCCTCACTCCTGGGCTGCTGTGAAGTTTCACATGAAAATATAAAACACAGCATTTTGGAGGGGTCCCAACACTGGACGGGTTGTCGCGGGGAGGAGTAGCTGCCGTACTGACATTTATTGTTTATTATTGATATTTTAGTTTTAGCTGACTGATTTTCTATTTGTTTATTTTTGGTTTGTCTGTTTTTGTATGTCTGTTTGTCTTCTGTCTGTGTGGAATTGTGTTTGCCCTGGTGTTAAAGGTATGGTAGGTAAGAATGGAGAAACCAGCTCGAGTGCGCTAGAATTTGAAAGTACACAACCGGAAAAAATCTGCCTCTTCCTTCAGACTTCCTTACAGAGCCCCTCCTCCAACACACACGAACGCGCACATGACCAATGAGAGCACGAGATCAGTTTGTGCCCAGATGGAAGGCTGACAGGCAGGTAGGCCATCCAGTTACTTTAGCCGGCTTCATCTGGCTTCCACAGATGACATTTATTTATGTATTTATTGTCAAAGCATTTCATGTATTCATTCATTGCTATCGGGATGTTAAGAGCATTCCATGGAATATAACAAAAAGTGTTTCTGAAGTGAATTACCTACCCCACCTTTAAGCAGTATTTACATTGTTACTCTACCTATTTTTCTATAAAGTGAAGATTTGTTTACCTACTTTTGATACATGCTCTGAGAGAATAATTGTATGCTGTTGAAAAAACCCAATAAACAAATATAAAACACAGACATGCTATATGAGGTGATGGGAACTGCAGCCTGTGCATAAATAGTCAACAAAAGAAGATGAAGACTTCAAAGAGAGAGCAGCATGTGTCCCATAGTGAGAAGTCTTTCCGGCTTCATTTACTGTACACTACAGCAGCCCACTGACTTCTGTTACTGTAGCAGCTGACTGCATGCTGCTAACACTGAGATACAAACAAACAGACATATGAACCAAAATGTGCTACATGCTCACACAGGCTAAACAAGCTCATAGGGTAGAGAGTGACTCATAGTAGATTGCATACTATTCAATAGATACAAAAAAGAATACTGTCAGCACTTTAAATCATTCTGCCACGTCAACAGCACTGTGAATTTGACCCTTTTTTCTGATTTCATAGTAAGGGAAACGTAGCTCATGTGAGAAATGGCCCCTGCTTTGCATTATATTCAAAAAGGATTTAATGACCTTGTGACTGACACGACAAGACCTGTATGTAGCAGTGTGGGTGTGATTATATTAGAGATGGAAACAGAGGGATTATCATGTTGATTTGATGCATGCCAACAAGTTGTTCTTCACATCCGCCCGAAGCAACAGCCACTACATGTAAATATGTGTTCCACCCACCCCTATCATTTTAGATGTAAATGGCGAACACATTTTTTAACCCTTGAAGCTGTTACAAGCTAAAAGCACACAGTAGCACAAGGTAACATATCAATAAGCAGCACAGCTACAAGCTGAAGCTCCTCAGGACAAGAATGGATGGTGCAGTGACAGCAGCAGCACCATATGGCACAGGAGCCACGATGTGGGGGGGGGGGGGGGGGGGGGGGGCACGACTCAGGCCTGCTCCAGTCTGCTTATGTTTGCACAATGAGGGTGGTGCTCAGCTAATTAATATTCACTAATGAGCACATTGAGCACTTTGCTATGTCATGGTCAGGCCTTGCACAAATGCTGCCAGTAAATTACCAATCAAAGTTAACAGGTCATTTATTATAAAGACATACTGGAATTATATTTAACCTGTATTTGATCATTTCAACGTAGCAGGGTTTTCTCATTGTAGTATGTGAAACTTAAGCATCGTGGGAATAGAAGACATTCAGAGTAGGGGATGTGTGTTTTGACTCAGCTTGAGGACAACAGTATTATTAGTGTTTCGGCACACAAACCTAACAAGTGCATGTCTGTGGATTATGCAGCTGCATGCCGCTGGAGCCCTGGTGCTTTGAGGAAGGATAGTAAAGAGGTCTTTATTTTCAATGGTCTAAAGAGGGCTACCACCCACTACTCTACAGAGGCTTCGCAGGAAGGTGGTTCAACAAAGATATTCTGTGATAGCTGCTTCAAACACAGGAAACAGACATTTATTGTGACTGTCCTTAAACGCTTTTGTAGCAGGATATAAATTCAATAGCTAATTTGGACACTCAAAGACAGTTTTTTCCCAAGAGCCATCATTGCTCTTAACACCTGAAAACATGTGAATCAATGTGACTCTGTACATATATACACATATATCATTATTATTATTATAAATACCTACTATTATTATTTATTACATTACAGATTTTATTTTTATACTCCTGGAAATAATTACTGAACTTTATTCCTTATTCCTAAGTATGTATGCTGTGTGTATTTGTTGTCTTATGTTGTGATGTTTTTGTTTTGATGGCACCCTTGAAAGGGAGAAGCATTTATGATTATCTCATTGTACATGTATAATGACATTAAACGATTCTATTCTATCCAAAGCCCTATGTTATTTAGAAAGCTGCTATTATGAAAGCTAACTTTTATGTTCACAAAATCTTAACCCCCTATAGACACTGTTACATAATTAAGAAGCTGCATCCAAGTGTTTGAGACATCAACACTGCAGAGATCTCTGTTCGGCGTGGGGGACACCGGATCACACAGGTGGGCCTGCACAGCTCCAGCAAGCTAATTGGCTGAACAGAAAAGATAACAATGACAGGCCTTCAAAATGGAAATTATACCCATGGCAGTATTTGTACACAATGATGCCATTAACTGAGAACCAATATCAGTTTATCACCTTGCTTTATTACAAATGCGTGTAAAGAATTGCAAAGAAATGTAATGATTTCAGTTTGTCAACACTTTATGCTGCTAACCTATCCATGTATCATTCTCTTTAACAAGGTGAGCCTGTTATGAGTTGACCTCGGTCTGTTCTGTTCAGCTGGGAGCCAATTAGCTGATGTCAACGCATACAACAGCAGTTACCTCTACAAGTCTTGTGCTCTACATTTCTGAGCAAACATGTTGCATATGCACGACATCGGGCTGCACTGCTATACACAGGAAAGATAAACATCCTCTGTAACAGCTGACTAATATGATGGAAACTACTGAGAGTAACTGAAGGAGTCCAAGAAGACGGTAACTTATTACATTTACCTAAGAATAATTGATGGTGTGTTTTAATCCTAATAGACAGACACAGAGAATGTAATGAAACTAATTCAAATAAACAACTTAACGAGAAACACATGCTTAATTTCAGCAATACCAACATCGAGTTGTAGACAGGGTATAACAAATCTATACACCCAAAACTTGATCTGCGGTGAGCCACTGAGGAGCCAAAGGGAGAACTTCTGTTCATTAATGCACAATGTTTCTATATGACTCACGATAGACCTACCCATACTTCAAGGCTCTAGAAAAAGAAACGAGTATAACTGGATCCAGAGGGTGGCAGGGGGTATTATTAGAGGAGAAGGAGTCCCATGATCCCTTGTGTCAAGTGTGATCAACATGGTAAAGCAGCGTTCAGTTATTATGCTCCAAATATCTGGAACAAACTCCCAGAAACCTGCAGGTCCGCTGCAACTCTGACTACTTTTAAATCCAGGCTGAAGACTTTTCTTTTTGTCGCTGCTTTTAATTGAAACTGAGCCGTTGTGTTCCTCAGTAAAGTGGAACTTCTGTGTGAACTATTCATATCTTAAACTGCACTAACTTTTTATTCATGTACTTTTTATTCACGTTTTTTTTCTTTGAATGTTTCTTTTATTATCTTTTACTGTTTTTAAATGCCTTTGTCTGAATGTCTTTCATTTTTGTAAAGCACCTTGAATTGCCTTGTGTTGAAAGGTGCTATATAAATAAACTTGCCTTGCCTTACCAGTGACATTAACTATAGGACCTGAGCCAGCGTACTTTTTGGCTCCGAGCCTTCACTCTCTGAATCATGAGCCATGAATAGAACCAACGGAGATCTGGCATTAAAAGTACAATCAGGCAATTCAAAATGAGAATTGAAAGT